CCAACACACACATACATACATAAACATTTCATGAGTCATGAGTGACTGTCAATGCAGAGAGCTCTTGCTGCAGGCCCGTTCAGCAGTGACAGTTTAGAAATAGACTAAATTGCCTCTCCTATCAGGGACAGATTAGCAGGAGAGCAATGGCATTAAAATGGCCTCAGACTTATCGCAGTTAATCAAGGAGTCTTTGCTGGTGGACATGTTCCCCCCGATCCTCAGCTTGTCACATCTTAACTTCGGAGCAGTTTCACTGAATGTCGAGGCTGTGAGCGATTTTTTGCCCTGTTTTTTTTTATTGTGTAATAATAACTCTGTTCTCTTGCAGAGGGTCCCCTGACAGAACCAAACCTCCTGATGTTTGCTCAAGCTGACAATCAAGAGATGTTGCCCTGATTGCTGTTTGTCAGGCACAGCTTTTCATTAAGCAAGGTAGGTTTATGCTATTGACTATTTCAGTCACCATATTCATAATTGAAATAACAGTTTTTGTGAAGATGTGAAATTTGTAGCAGTAAATTTGACTTAATCGTTGTTTTATTTCCGTCGTTTGTGTCTCTTTCAGATGTCAACCACAACAGAAAATGGGATGGGAGGGCCTTGGAGCACAAGCAGAGAGAAAACATACAAAAAGGTAAAAAGTATGACTGTTCATACAAAAACCTCACTGTGTTTGGTTTTTATTTGCCTCTTAAGAGGAATGTGAACCAGCTTCCATAACGTTTATTTTGGAATGCCGCTGTTTAGAGCCATCAAGTCCAAAAGGTCTTTACTTCTGAGCCCGAGTCACATGAGTCCTTATAAATGTCCTTCTACAGCACATAATGTTCTGACCCCTGCCAGGGCCGGCTGCCAGAGATCAGTCAAGTGCTGGTCACACTTGTTTTCTTTCCTTTTTTTTAAACTTTAGACGTCACTGCTTATGGCAGCATTTCTTAAGATTCACCATTACAACGCTCACCACAGTGGGGGTTCAGGTTGGGACTCAAAACTAGTCAAAGGTCTTTTTGTAGTAGATACCCACGCAAGTACTAGTAGAGTACTAGTATGTTTATGGCCAAGGCTGTTTTGGGTTTTAATGTGTTTGTATGAAAATTATAAAATTGTACAAAAGTAATGGATTTTCATGTCTTGATTTTTAGGCATCTACTATGCCATATTTTGAATTGTGAACTTTTTATATTAAACTCCTGTAATTGAAATATAAAAATGGCTCAAACAGAAGGGTCACTGTATGGCTTGCCTATTTTTCATTTTTCATTTGTTCACATCTACACCCTATGGTGTATATAATGGGGATAGCAGCAGGGCTGTTGTAGCATTGTGTACTATAAAAGCCTGACTAATGTGTTGTTTTCTCTTCTATTTTCCCATCTAGACCACGTCATCGGCCTTGAAGGGGGCCATTCAGCTCGGTATTGGCTATACAGTGGGCAATCTCACCTCCAAGCCTGACAGAGACGTGCTTATGCAAGACTTCTATGTGGTGGAGAGTGTCTTTCTCCCCAGGTCAGTGTTACATAGTGCCAACCCACTCTCACATACGTTCATACTTACGCACACAGCTTCTATACACAGAAAGACATCTTCTATAATGTACACAATTTTGGCAGCACTCATTCAACATAGTAGTTATTTGTGTTTTTTATATTATCATCAAAATAACAGCCAGACTTTTTCCATAAGCTCAAGGTTACTGGTCTACAAGAACCAGTGAATTAGAGAACTGCTTCATAAAAACAGATTATGTGTAGGTGGTAACAGGCTGCTCTTTGGCTGTGACAGTTTCCTGTCTCTGCAAAGTGAATGAATGGAAAGAGACTAAAGACTAAGCTTTGCCTGTCTGCCTGCTCAAATATTATGTCTGGGTCTTGTATTAAATACATTTAAATATATTATTAATCATTCTCAATGGAAACTGCAGGCTCTGGGCATCGAGTCCAACAAAATTATACTGCTACCACAAACTGCCACCATCATCATTTATCAACAAAGTGAATTTTGCTAGTCTAAGTCATGATGCAGGGATAAAACTATTCTAGTGGATAATCCTGCCAAGAACTGTGAAATCAGCTTACTGTGTGCCCCTTACTGCTACAGTGCAAAACATATGTCAGTGTGGGGCTGCTCTGTCATCTCAGGCTGTCTTCGGTTTAAATAAACATTTTATATAATCCAGCCCAACACACCCAGGAATTCTTTAAAAGTGTGACTCATGTATCCACACACTTATTAACACACAGCTGATGTTCAGACAATTCTATCTATTTTTAATTAGTTAGTATGACAATGTCACTTACTAGCACCTATGTACTCACAGTAGCTAATAGAGTCACTTTTAGAAGATCTAACCATTTGCTATTAGCTGCATGAATGGCTTGATGATGAAATGTTTTATTTTCTATTTAAATATGTGCTTTGTTTGTCCTAATTTTAAATGAAAAGTATAGTAATAGGTGTTAGTCAAGCAAAAGGTGTTTGTGTAACTGAAGCTTCTGGAAGAGAATTGGTGTCCTACCAGGAAATACTTTGTGGTTTACCTTTGAGAGGCTGCACCAGGATATGCAAACTCAGTATGGTTTATGCAAACCTGGGCTTGGCACGAACATTTACTGTGCTGCTCCTTAGCAGCGGCCAAACATTATACTTTTGTGTTAGCCCTACAGTGAAGAGTGTTTAAAAACCTGCTATAGCTTTACTGAGATAGTGAAGTACAAAAGATGAAAGCCAGCCCGTTACATCATCCTTAATCTGCACCCTATGTCAAGCCTTTTCACATAATGGCGTAATAAAATGAAAGTTGTAGTTATCTTCAGGGACATCTTTTCACTGGCCCTTTTTTTTAAAATGCCAACTGAAATAAAAAAACGAGGCTACATGGTTAAGAAAAAAATTATACAACAAACATAACATAATCAGTGGGGAGTGAGAATTGATGTCTTGCGTCTGACATAACCATTTTCTTCTTTGCTCTCTTATTTTAGAAGAAATAAAGTGTTTCCTTTCTGTTCTGTAATAGCACACAAATACAAACCCCTCTCTTTCTAGTCACTGACAAAGTATCCTGAGCAGCTGAGTTTTGGAGACAGCTCTCAGATGCTTTTATGGCCTCCCTCTCAACACTCTTTTCCCTCTCTTCCTCCACATGTTGTTAATCCTCTCTGGAGGTTTTTCCACTGTTGTTTGTCCTGTCAGTCTAGTTTTGGATGACTGGAGATGTCGCAGATCACTTTGACTCCCACACACACACACACAGTTTTTTTTGTCTCCCAGTGCATGTATCTCAACCAGCATACATCTTTTACCAGGCAGACACACACACAGATGGCTCTCTGATTAGATTGAATGAAACATTTCCAGTTGCTGTTTGTTGCTAAATGGTTTCCATGCGAGGCGTACATTACCATCATGGACTGTCAGTCATTGATGACAGATAACTGTTGCCCTCACACATTAAACAGAGCAGTCAGCTTGCATTGTATAGTAATCACAGGTATAGTGTTACACAGCAGGGTCTGAATGTTGCCTGTATCCTATTACAGAATATGGTACCAGCACAAAACAACAACACAGTAGCCTCTTTATCCAGAAAAGCATGCAAGTCCTCAGAATTTAAACCAGATTTAGAGGCGCCCTGGAAAACAAAAACCTTTATTAACCTACTTCTTTTAGATTTAGGGTCAGTGTGATTGATTTCAGTGAGAGTTTATGTGATGAAAGCCTTGATGGCTGACTCACGTTAACCTTATCCGACGTGCTTTCTCCTGTGTCGTGTTCCCGTCAGACACAGTTTAGGAAACTGGGTTGTTCTTTGTCAAAGCTCGTCTAAGAATGTCAGGTCTCACGGCCCAGTCAAGGCAACAGAAAAAAATGTAGGTTATTAAGAGTGTTTGTTGTTTTTATTTTCATCTTTTTGCTAATCCCTTTCTCCCCCCCAGAGTTGAGGCTCATGTGTTGTGTGGTATTGTTTAGATCCAGTAATCAGAGACACTTTTGGTCTCCAGGCGAAGAACTCTATAGAAACCACAACAGTGGTGAATCTCAGTTCCCATAGATGAATTCACTGAAGCCTGTTCATGCATGGGTGGAGCACATTACAAGGGCCCACTGATACACTTACTGAAAGTCAATAGGCTATTGACAAGAAACCCAGGCACAAAGATTAGGTGTTAGGATTCACTTTCCCCTTGGTGCTGCTTGCATGGGATCCTTGGTTTGAGAATGACTGTCTCTGATAATGACACTGACATGTTTCAATTATATAATGTTAAAAAAAAACTTCCATTATTTGAGTTAGTCTTGGAAAAATTTATCTAATGTTCCACTGTATGTTTTTGTTTCCTGGTGTGTTTGGTTTTTCATTGCACATGTCAGTGAGGGAAGCAACTTGACCCCAGCACATCACTATCCTGACTTCCGCTTCAAGACCTACGCCCCACTGGCCTTCCGCTACTTCAGGGATCTGTTCGGCATTAAACCAGACGACTACCTGGTAAGACTAAAATCTAGCTTTCATTATTTCTACACTTTTCCCTCAGTCCCTCTGCTTCTTACTAACTAATTTGCAAAATGTCATGCAGGTGTGGGGAGGAAGTTTTAAGGGTCAAATCAAATCAGACATACACATCGTACACCTAAAGTAAGATTTTATGAAACATCAGATCAAATTCACCTTCTGTATGTTTTACCCAGAAAAAAAGGACTAGGAATAGTTTGACATTTTAGGAAATACACTTATTCACAGTGACTTCCTAGGCCCCACAACGACCGTTGCTCCCATTTCTAAGAGACAATGGCCCGCTGGTTGTCTTTCTACTGAATTAATTCTCATTGACTGAACGCTAATCTTCCACCTCAGTTAATTGTGACATTCGAGTGTATAGAGTAGTGGGCGGGTAATGCCACTCACCATCTGTGCAGGGGAAAGGCAGTATTGGAGGATGAAGTCGAGGCATAACATTGGGGCGGGGAAGATATTGGAGGTACTGACTGAGCTAATGGAGGGTGCCCTCATTACGACAGCTTTAACCAGTTCCCAGTGCTTAATGAAATCAGCAGATGATTCTGTGATTTCCCAGTAGAATCAAAGATAAACACAGCCAGAGAAATAGATAGAGAGAAAGATGAGAGACAGAGAATTACTGTTATTCCTGAAGAAGAGGATTCGACTGTGAAGAATATTCTCTGACTGAAGGTCTTGAATGTCTAATATCACTCACAATGAAGCATGTTCAAACATCCCTGTAAAAGCCTTTATTTATGTACCGTACAAGCCATCAGGTTTGTTTATTTAATTTGCTGCTCGCTGAAGAGTATACCTTGTTACCATATTTATTCCTTTTAACACATACACTTCTTTATTGCAACAAAATTAGATTTTGTGTAATCTTGTTTGGGTTTTATCATATGCCGTTTTCCTATTTTCAGTCTGTCTCCAAGCCTTTCAAAAACCCACCAGCTGCACTCTTGTTTTTGAATGCAAATTTGTTTCTGAATAAGTGAAAGACAAGTCAGACAGACACGAAATGTAACTTCAAGGTAGCAGAGGGAGGTTGGCATGAGGCACAGCAGCTTAGAGGATATACTCATGATTGATGTCCTTGAGGTGATGATGAATTCATTCAGAGACCACACAGCAGAGTCTAATTAGAGGAGAGAACACACACACACAC